AATGAAAGGAAACCCAACCGATTAATATACTAAGAAAATTATAATTAGAAACAAAAAAGATAGAAAGCATATAATGCATCAAATTATTTTTCAAAACATTGATAATCCATGTTAGCAAGTCATGTCACAGTCAAAATAATCAAAGTCATTCAACTACATGTGTTACTCAATGGTGTCGGGTTTCTACATGTTTGTCTGTTGTGTCCAGACCCCCCACTTCGGCCATATTTTTGTGTGCTGGTCGACCTTTCAGTTCTTGACCGTTTACATTATGTAGGAGGTCGATCTGGTGTTCTACGTATATTTGGGGGCAACACTTCGATGAAACGAATGGCATGAGGAACAACCCAATCTGACACCATTCCGATGGGGTAAAGCACTTCTGTGTACACAGCTCACCAACACTCTATGGTGTAGTAAGGGGAGCACAAGTCATACAGTGATTTACCGTTTGCGTAAGCAGCTCGGGATTCATATGCACACATAATTTGTCGCATATGAAACTCTCAATATAAGCATGTGTTACCTATAAGGTCGACAGTATACATTCCTGCACCTACACCAACCTCAAAAACGAATTCGTCCAAATTTCGTGCTTGAAAGGTTGCACCGGCGTCAAACGACATTCTCAATTCCTTCTCCATTTTTGGTGTCAAGGTACTATGACAATTGGTAGATGCATTTCTCCTCTTGAAGAACCATTGTTGTATTAACGATGTAATGTTTTCGACCAACGAAGTTATAGGAAAACTTCGTTGTCGTCTGAGGACTGCATTTTGTGACTCCGCACTGTTATTAGTCATGACGTACCAATTACCAATGAAATTTGCCCGTGACCAGGTGGAGAAACTAGCACGTTCCAAATAAGAAGCCACTGCTAGTTGAATAGTTCTAATATGTGTCATGAACTGGTCGAATTTCTAAAGACACTACTAAATGTTATGCTAGGGTTGTACACTTGAACAAAAAAATGACATTGCTACTACTATACCTAGCAATAAGATTTTTCTCGATATGCTAAATGTAAGCACCGTGGTGAGAAAGCAGGAATAGCCTCGTAATGGCCCGCTTAATACTATTTTTCATGTCCAACACAAACACTAGCTGATTTGAGTCCTCAATGATATTTTTCAACTTCGTGAAGAACCAATACCACGATGCATTTGTTTCCCCATCGACAACCTCCCAAGCAATTGGATATATTTACATGTTGGCATCTTGCACTACAGCTACTAGTAGTATTCCTTTATACTTGTACATCAAATGGCTCCCATCAACACAAATTACCTGCCTCATGTACTCTCGAAAACTACGTATACTAGGCCCGAATACTAAGAAGAAGTACAAGAACCTGTTGTTGATATCGAGGTCAATGTGTACGACGATTCCTAGGTTTCTATCAGTTAACATGTGAAAGTATGACGACAATTTCTGAAAACTTTCTTCAGGTGAACCACGAAGAATTTGAAGGTCATTTTCCTTACCCCTCCACGCTTTATTGTAGCTAATCCGTACACCACACTCACGTTCCATATCGCTGATAATACCGGCAAGAACATATGGTTGATTTGCATCATTCAATCGTTGCATTATGTGATGCCCAAATAGTGCACTCGTTGCATGAATTTGTGAATTCTATCAAACGTCTAAACGGCATGTGTGCTCATGTATGTACTTTCGAATCTTANTATGGTTGATTTGCATCATTCAATCGTTGCATTATGTGATGCCCAATTAGTGCACTTGTTGCATGAATTTGCGCATTCTGCCAAATGTCTAGAGAACATGTGTGCTCGGGTATGTACTTTCGAACCTTAAATATGTCTGAAGTGTTTATCTTAGAAGCTCGCACAAGCCAATGGCACGTGGTATCGACGCAACACACAATAAGAGATCTAGGATTCAACTTTTTAACCTTGAAATGAAAACTTCGCTGTCAAAGCCTTCAATCTTAGCCTTGTGTACTGTTTCTTGCTAAAAAAGATCTTATTCTCCTCAATGTCCTCTTCATCGATCAATTGAATTTCATTTCCAATATACAAATTCGCTTCACCCAAACTTACATTTGTATTATTAATCATTTGTGACTCTTGTAGTTCGCACACACCCACTTCATCACGTCCACACAATGCATCTTCTATTGGTGAGAAAGGGTCAACTCCAACATGCACTTCGTGCTCTCCAGCATCATATTAAGCTGCAATTACACACAAAGCTGCTTGTGTGTGAACAAAAATGTACCATTGCAAATCCTCATCGTCGGCTACATTAGCAGGGAGTATATTCATGTTCAGAACTTTAAATTTCAATTGAATTCAAAATTTCATTCTGTCAATATTCAATTTCTCGAAATGTGTATACAAGCTCTTCATATCTAATATCATGTCGAATAAAAATTGATGTTGCTCGGTCCTCTAACCACTTCCACTTGTCGTCCATGTTGACGAATGTACCACCATACGAGACAATGAATCTCATAACATCTCCCATATCTGCATGCCATAAACGAAAATAATATCAGCTAATAACGAATACCTAAAACGAAAATGCTAGCCGCATCTAATATGTGAAACGATGTACACAAAATATTCCTTAATTTTGTTTAGTATTTAATGTTATTCTCGACATTTGAAAATATCGAGAATTACATTTAAACTATCATTCTCGACGTTTATAAAATGTCGAGAGTGACATTACGGGATTCACTTCAACATATGCATTTATCATCTTCTTCCACTTCAACCACCATT